TAGGGATACGGTGGACCTCAAAAAGGATGACCAAACAAGTTGGCTATCTTACACCCAAATCGGGCCTAGGGCTCGCTCACACTTTGCACATACCATACCAAAAGGCTCGCTTACACCCTGAAAACACCGCATAAAGTCTGAATACATCCATGCCATCCTAGGGGTTCGCTTAGACCTCTTTAGCAAGACTTAACTCATTTGGTATTAATTCCATCACAATTCATCTCATTCATATGTATATTACATAAATCATTCCGTAACACTAATGTGAACATAACCCATTACCAACCCCTTTTCATTTCCCATTTATTAGATATTTTGATAAGCAAATTAGTCACATTCGGTAATATAAAAGAGCATAAGGCAAACATAAGAGAGGAAATATAGCTCATGATAATCATACATAAGTATGGTAAGGTAAGCAAACAACATTAGGCATGCTTTGAAATACTTCGAGACAAATAACGCAATAAGATACAATTTCCAGCACTGTTCAGAACTGTAGGGTTAAAAAGAATGCTTCGGAAAAAAATACTTCCAGGTCATATTAGGGGCTGAAATTGCACAACAACAATAAACAAACATGTCTATTTTCAGTTTCAATTTTCAGTATTTGCACAGCACATCCAAAAATTCATCTATAAGCTATGTTCGAAAACCTATCCAGATTTATCACCTTTTGGGAAAACTAGCTTTCCTCTCAATCTACCTAATGATTTCCACCCAAATAAATTCGGTTGGAAAGAGGACTCAGAATTCTAAAGTTTGACAGAAGAACCAACATGAGATGATTTTTTTGCAATTTTATAAAATTGCAAGAAATGGACTATTTTTAAAGACTCGGGACCAGATTTCTTAAACAAAATATCCAAGCCCTAAAAACACACAGTGAGGGGCTAATAAAATTATCATAAGCTCTAAACACACCAAATATCCTATATTAAATTTAGATTTGATAAAAAAATACATTTGATATTTCTTTTAAAATAGAGAAGTTGTAGTAGTGCATATTTTGAACAAAATTCGAAGACAAAGTTACCAATTCATACCCACACTTGCATACACACCAAAAACCCTATTTACCATTAATATATAACACAAGAGAGCATACTCGAAAATTGGATGAGATGGGTGAAAGAAATAGAGAAGACAAGAGAGAGATGTGGTTCTTACCTTAACACAAGAAAGCAACTTTTCTTCCTTTCTTTCCCCCCCTCCCTCGTCTTCTCCACTTCCCTCTAGTCACAATCTCCTCATCTCACCCTCTCCTTGGCTGCTGAAAATGTAAGGAATTTGAGAAAATGTCTCAATTTATAAGCAAGGAGTTTGGGTTGAAAAGACAATTTTACCCTCTATCTTAATGACTAAGGAAAATAGAAGACTAGTAAATATCCAGATTTTTTTCTCAAGTCTTCTAGATGGCTCCACACCCAATTTTCCCCAAAATAATATTTATAAATACCTATGTAAATATTCATGTTCAAATAACTAAATAAATAAATGAAAGAAAAAGGATAAAAATATATGAATTAATTTAGAAACTAGGAGGTAAAATAAATAAATACCAAGTGTTAGGGTATTTCTAATTATAAAGTGGTGATCTAAGATTTAATTTTAATAACATACGGGAAAATTATTCTTTATTGGACCACTTTGCAAATTTTTACGAAACTAGGGGCTAAAATGCTATTAACCTAAGGCTCAGGATTTCAAGTGTAATTACCAAAAGTTA